GGAGCAGGAAGGAAAAAAAAAATATAAAGAAACTAAATTTTGTTTGACACTGCACGGCCAAGCTAGTCCCGCCAACTGGGAGGATGGGGACGTTTGTGTCCGCACCAGCCACGTAAGCCCACAGCGCACGGAGATGTAACAAAGCGCGGCATTTTTAAAGCATTTCTCTTTTCTTCGTCCCGCGGAGGGAGCGTGTGCCTTTTTGCAGAGGACAGTTTTTGAGGATGGTCGGCCCAAACGCCCGCAGGCTTACTCTTCTTGCCGCCAAGCATACGTTTCCTTCTCTAATTTGAATCGTCCACCTCCCGATGCACTCTTCCGTTGTCTCGACTTCAGGCCCGTTTTCTCTCCCTTCCTTTTTTTTTTTTTTTTTTTTTTTTTTTTTTTTTTTTTTTTTTGCAACCCAATTACCGGCTTTGCCTCCCGTCACCCACTTCTCCCTTCTTGGGTCCTTTCACTTGAGAAAGAGTATCTGCTCGAAACGTCTGTGTCGTTCTGCTTGTTTGTCTGTGTGTTTTTGTAATTGAAAGACCGCCCTTAGCTGGAACCAGGGGCACTCGGCATCAGTTGACTTATGGATATTCAAGTCGTGGGCTTTCCGGGTGGTCTCTTCTATTTCGGGTGGTGAGATAGAGGAGCAAGTTCGATCTGGTTAGGAAGCGACGGAGGAAAGGCAACAGCCGTTTGGAATTCCACGCGCAGTGGTCGTTTGTATCTCGATCAGTGCTTATTTTGACGGAGGAATGTAGCCGCAACATTGCTCTCCAAGTTTTCAAGAAAAGCTTCGTGTTTCATGAAAGATTGTGCGCACGCAGTAGAAAACGATTTGACCGACGAGTGGATTAGAGTGGCAAAGAAGACATCTACGAAGCTGATTGCAAGGTAGGACATATTATTATTGACTTCACATTTGCACGATTTATATTGCCTCAGTCCAATTTCACCTCATAAAAAAAAAAAAAATCCGAGATTAGAATTGACCGATTGTAAACTGGCACCATGATTGGATATACACGAGATCTGGACGCGTGCCGTTGTGTTCGTGTATACCTAGGGCTCCGTGTTTTCGGATAAATCCGAAAAACTCCGAAAAACACCCGCCGGTAGCATTATGGCAAATTCGAATTTTTCCGATAAACTCCGAATCTTTATGTGCCAATGCCACCCCCCCCCCCCCCCCGCGCGCGCGCACACACACACACACACAAACACGCAAAAAAAACTTTTTTTCTTCTTTTTTTTAATTTGGCTAGCGAAATGGCACCATAATTATCTTTCAAATCTCAGACCGTTGTCAAAAGGGGTCTTGCCGCTTGTCTCGTCCAGGTTGATTCAGGGCAACAGGTCATTGTACATTCGGGTCACGACAAAAGCCACTCTTTTGGTTCCCTGTTGGAGCCATGCGATTTGTAATTTAGAGAAAGGAGAAGTTAGGTTTTTGTAACAGTGAAAGCTAGGGACCATAGAGTTGCATTAAATAGGGAAGAGGGGCAGTTGAAACTTCTCTATTACATCCTTAACCACTCCACCTCGCGCGGCCGCGGGCTAGATTGATGGAATAGGATCGGATGACAACGAGCTTTGTAGCGACTGCCACCGGGAGTTTATTGATTTTAAGGTATCGGCGTTTATCGAAACGCAACTTGCGTGAGACTTTTGTCGTGAGACAAATATTGGCAATGGCACGAACGTCAAATTCCACAGAAGAAATTTTAATCGATACAAGCGCGTTTTATATTTTATCTGGCATATGTTTACATCCGGTTATTATTTACATATTCATTTCCAGTAGGAAACACTGCGAAATTAAACTCCGAATTTCAGAGTATTGGGACTCAAACAAATATAAACTCCGATAAACTCCGAATCTTAGGCAAAAAATAAACTCCGAAAAACACCCTCCGAATTTGACGAAAAATAAACTCCGAAAACACGGAGCTCTATGTATACTTTATGGTGGTCGCTCTTATTTTAAAGTTCTTTATAGACCAGCTATCAGCAATGCTAAAATTTTTAAAGACTAAAGTCCCCTGTAATTTTGCCAACCAAGAGACTCCAATTCTTTATCATGCAGTGCATTTACTCGGATACTGCCTTAAATTATGATCTGAGCTATTCATAGTAAAAATTGAAACAGGAAGAACCAAATATATTAATATATTTTATTAAGAAAATCTTAGTTTCTCGAAATAATCAGATTCACTACCGCGAACAACACAATGTCTTATAAGAAATCTATGCTAATTTAAAGGCATATAAAAGAACGTCCAGTTTGAATGTTTTGTCATGTTTCTTTGTAAAAAAACGACGAACTAACGGAGTTACTTTAGAGAAGTAACTGTAACAAGTTACTCTTTCACTTTTGTAACTGTAACAGGGTTACTTTTTTTACCTGAGTAACTGTAACACTGTTACATTTTAGCAGTAACGTGCCCATGACTGCTCTGAGGCCTCGTTCACACAGCCGGCGTTTCGCCCCGTCCCGGCGAAAGCGCCGTGGGCGCCGCGCCGAAAACGGGACGGTGCGGGGACGGAGGAGTGTTCGAACCAGCGGCGGCGGAGCTGCCGGCGATGCTGGCGGCTGTGCACCCTTATATTGGGCGGTAGCTTGCGTCACCTAGCTGAGAAATCTTCGTGCACCTTTCAAATTCCGCTTCGAACGTTTGTATCTCGTAAAACTGTATAACCGATATAACCTATTATTTCGTGCCCAATTACACACTTCCCTCGATCTTTATTACCAATCTTGTAATCCCGTATTTGCGGCTGCTTTGTGGCGGCGTGGACCACCAAATGTAGCGGACGACCGGCGTCGACGGGCACAGCCACAACTGTTTTGTTCCTCGGAACTTGCGTTTGGGTCGCCGATAACGATCTTGCATGTTGCAAAAAAATTTTATTCGTCTCCACGTTTCTAAACAAAAACGACAAGACCCACCGCGAGCACGTTTCCCATCAATCACTCCTTGCACTCGCTAAACACATTCACACGGCGTCGATTCTTGGTCGGTATAAGCGTGCGAAGGCACAGAGACACGGCACTTCGGCGTGCCAAGGAAGCTTTGTACACGCCGCCAGATCCTTGCTTGCAACGAGTTGTGCCTTTTTCCTGCGACACTGCGCTTTCGTAAAATTTTCCATGTGTTCACAACAAGTCTCAACAATACACAGTCTTAAAAAACTTCTTCGCCGAATGACGGCGAACGAGTAGAAAACGTGTCTACAGCACGCTGGAAAACCGCAGCAAAAGGCTAGCAAACCTGCAAATCGTATCCCAAGCGAGTAAAGTCCGCGTGGCTTCACTCGCGCTGCAGCCAACAAGCGGAGAAGCGCGATCCAACAATTGTCATTGAGATGCGATCTCTATGATTGAGATCAGTGGTCCATCGCCTCGGTGATGGCGGCGCAGAGTGCTGCACATTTGCCTCTACTGCACTCCAAACATCCACGGGCAGAAGCCCGTGGATGTTTCATCTGCGGCCGTAGTCCTACGGAAATTTATGCAGCAAAATAAACCTATGCGCCGACCAATTTTTTTTTTATGTAGTTTAATGAAAGGAAATTATTACACCGGTCGGTTTTAATTACCAGCATAAACTGCCAATTTGAAATGAAAACTAACCACTCTACTGGAAGTGTTTATTTCATAAATAGAATTTTGTATTGCTTTGTGCATATTTATCTTTAGATATGTTGAAATTTTACCAAAGCTAATAAAAAAAACTTTCAGCCTTTCCACTCTGGTGAAGAAGGAAAAGCAGCGGAGCTGTAGCTTCTGTTCTCGGTGGTGGCTTTCCAGGCGAGCGATCTCCTCTTCTTTCGCAAGGGAATGTGAAGCGCTCGACGCAGTGGAACTTTAGGCGATAGCGGCCTCGCGGCGGTTGCGGAACAAATCGCGCTGCTGCGCACGCCGCCCGCTCGTTTCGTTCCCACTCTTCTTACGCCGAAGAAATGTTGCCGCCATCTATGAGCGACGGCAGCAACCAACTGTCTGGTTGCCAGGCTGGAAAGGTTGCCGCAATCTATGAGCGACGGCGGCAAGCCGACAACCACCAGACACAACACTCTGGACAGCTACCGCCATCTATGAGCGACGGCGGCAACCAGTGTCGTGTCAACATGTTTGGTACTGGACACGATCCTAGGAAAACTAGCCCTTTGAAAACTCAGCTGTAAAAAAAAAGAAAAAGAGCAAGAGCAAACTTTACAAAATTTATTTGCAACCATTTTGTTTAGATCTACGATTGGGACCATTTCGTCCGCTTCCTTTGGAGAATTGCAGCGCATCACGCATTCTTTTTTTTTTTTTTTCTAGAAAATCTAGAACAGCGTTGGAGAAGGCCGTCCTGAACATATCTCAATTTTTACCTGCATACTACCGCGCAAGTGACGTGAAGAACATATATTCTTTATTGTACCATGTGTATATCACAGCGGTGGGTACATTTATGTATTTGAAGTGCAAAATAGAGTTCCTACATTTAAATAATTCATCCTGGTGCCACCAATCTCCGGAAGTGTGCTTCTTCCGACAAGTGGCATAAGCAAGAATTTTAAAGCCGCAAGAGTGCCCTCCATTCTGAAATTTTCACGGCGCGAGAACTATACAGGTTGGTTGCGGACAGCGTGCGGATTACAGTATTCAAAATAACTAAAGTAATGTTACCTGTGTAGACGAACTGGTGGAGATAAAACATAATGAGCCAAAGACCGTTGAATAAAAAGAGGCCAAACAGAGAACACATTTTGTATGTCCTTCAGTTTTCATTACTACCTCAGGCTCGAGTTGCGGACGTGGAAGGAGGAAAAATACTATAATTAAGCTATACTACATAAAATTTAGTACCAGTGTAAAGCTAATGGAGCGGTCAGCACGGCACAGGTGACAGGTCGGCATGGTTGCTCTAATATTGATAGTAAGTTAAAACATACTATCCTAAAAACATTCTTTTTTTCAGTAGCCACGTTTGGCAATGGTTAAAGCAAACAAGTTCCAGTTTCATGTTGATAAACGAGTGCAAATTTATTAAATAATCTCAATACACAAAATGTCGCAAAACACAAGGCAAAAGACAACACAAAGCTTGTAGTGAAAATTAAAGCTGAGAAACTATACTTGAAGCAGGTACTAAAAACCAAAACTTGCTTCAAACTCACAGAAGAAGTGGTCTAAAACTTGTACCACTTGAAGGATCATCAGAGAAAAACACGCCATGAGGATAAGAAACAAGTTATCACAGCAAAATGTCATTCTCTGCTGAAATTCTGCAGAGACCTTGTTCTTACTGGTCCGCCGCCGACCGTTTCTTGATGTCCGCTGCCTTCAAGTAAGACCGAATGCGCAACCAGTTGTCGATCCCAATCTGATCCAGCTGCACTCCACCCCTATCTGGCCGGTCACAACCGACACTTTTGCGGACAATCCCGACTGCCACCATGAAGTCCATCTTGAGGTGATTCAGGCGCTCCGCAATCTTCTCTTTCGCCTCGCACTCCGCCAAAGAACCTGCCTTTTTAACCCTCTCCACCAGCACCTCACTCCGGCACAACATCTCGAATGCTTCGGCAAAGCACTGGCCATCCCGACCCATCACAAACTGAACGGCACGGTGGACGTGGGACATGTTCCGTCGTATTACATGGTCAATCTCAAACTGCTTGTATACCTGAGGTTCAGGCGTGCTTCGTTTCTTCACTACGAAATCGAGCAGGTGATGGTTCACGTGGATGCATTTCCCTAGCTCTGCCACCAAAGCCACAGAGGACGCCTTGTCACACGCAATGAGCAGTCCGTTAAGAGTCACATTCCCTTTGAGTGCCAAGCCAAGCACCGCGGCATCGAGCTCTGTGAACTGCCAGTTGACGAGGGACAACCAAGCGATGGTGTTGTTGAGGCTAAGACCCTTGTCCAGTACAATGTGCGTATACGGTTTTGATTGGCCAAATTCAAGGTGGACTCGCTTGAGTGTCCTTGTGGTTGACAGCAATATCACCAGAGAGTTGGCAAGCTCTTTGGTGAGTGGTGCTTCTATGCAGATTGTCAGCTGAAGTAGGTGTGAGCTTGAGGTCATCATCTGGATGCCATAGCACAGGCTAGGAGAAACTTCATTCTCGTAGGAGTTTTCATAGACTATCTCTGCAAGGTCGGGCCATCTGTGAAGGACCTGTAGCAGGCGAAAGGGGTCTGTGATAACAGTGCTGAATTTGATCTTTTCTTTCATCCCTGACGCTACCAGCGTCTTGTAAAACTTGGCCAGTTTACCATCACAGACCTCACCTACTGAGACACATTCTAGTGAACTGTTGCTCGCTAGGGCCTCATAGAAGCCGACTGCATTCTTGGTGTTCATGTATTGCCAAAAGAAGCCTAGTTTCTTGAGAGTTCTATTTGCTTGAATGGCGAGTGCCAAAGGAGCAATGTCCTTAATCTTAATGCTACCCACCTGAAGCTCATGTAGCCCTGCATTCCTCTCAATGAGCTTGGCAAGTGTTTTCAACTCAAAGCTGGAAGAAAACCAGGAAAAATGCAGGATGCGGAGAGTGGTGTTCTCAGCCACAACTTCACTGAGGAGCTCCAGCTGCTCAGTCCCGAGTTTCACATAGTCAAAGCTCAACTTCATGAGAGATTTGCTTTCTCTCAGTGCCTGGAGCACTGCCTCTAACTGAGGCACCTGATATGGGCCCAGACCAATTGTCAGTTTCTTCAGTGATGTGTTATTTGCCAAATACTCTCCGAACAGGAAAGAAGCACTTGGGTTCTCGTCGGTGGGTTTGTCGTCGTCGAGAGCATCGACGCCCAAAAGCACCAATGACTTCAGTGAATGCAAATGCCAAAAATTATGCACAAGCTTCTTCTGTGCAGGCAGAGACAGTATCAGGGTTTCAAGCTCCAGCTTTTCCAGCTTCTCCAGAGCGCCTATGGTAGTGACCAGGTCGTCGGCACAGCCTGCCGTGTTGTCTGCATTACAGCAGGTCACCCTGAGTTTTCTCAACCCAGAGCAGCGACCCATGGCGTCAAAGAGAAGTTTGTGTCGCCAAGAAATGGCCTCGCCTTTGAGCTCAAGAGCCACGATGCAGCGATGCTCCTGTAAAAGCCAATGAAGAAGGGTATATGCAAGATTGCTTTTGGAGTGTGATGTCTCGGGCAGAGGTCGGTGGTGGAGAGGGAGAACACCGAGCTTTCCGGGCACCGTTTCTTTCAGCTCCAGGTTCAGGATGCACAAGCACTCATTCCAAGGGACGAGGTCATCAAAGATGTAGCAGTTGCTGACTTCACTGTGCGTACAGCGAAGATTGAGGTTCATTTCCTTCAAGCTGACGAAGCTTTTGACGGTGCAGAGGTCATCATAGAGCTCTTGGGCTGTTTTCTCGCCAGGGCACAGTTGGACGACGTCAGAGGCATACTCCAGGAGCGTCCGCCTTGTTCCCATTGTGCTGCAGGGAACAAAAGCATTTCCTATACATATGGCACCCAGCCAAAGCATTGGGCTTCAACACCTTAGAGCACTTTACCTACCTAAAACTGTTGAATTTAAGCCAATTTGAACCTATAAAAGGTAGTCCTGGAAAAAGTAAAAGCCGCCAGCCTCGGACAGCATGCACGTGTTGCGTTGACAGTCACAGGAACCACTCATACTGTGCACGAGCCGATTGCGAGATTAGCTGCTCTCAACATCCAGCTATTCGACCTCAGCATTTTTGACTGCGCTGAGCCACTGTGCTGACAGTCCTTCGCCTCGGTCAGTACTCTGAACAATGAATTCAATTTATCCAGTCAATTTAGTAGAAAAAAAAACACACCCTTCAAAGTGTTACGAAAGCAAGAACAGTACCACCGCACTATTAGGAATGGCAAGGTTGAATATGTTAGCTGCTAATCTCACAAGAAATGATTCCTCTCGCCATAGCATGGTGCGTGTAGCAAGGCCACGCATTCCTGCAAATTCATTGACTTTGTCTGGCACTGTACACATTCAAACACCCCTAACATGGATGGAGCCAATACCACCTAGAAGGAAAAGGCTGCACCTTTAATTCCCTAATGTCATCTCTAGTGGATTCACACAGCACCGCCTATAGATGTTTGAAAGAAGGGCTCCAGGGAGCTTCCATTTTGGACGACGCTGGCATCACCTCGCGTGCAGCATATTTCCGCCATGGTAGGGTAGGCACATTTACCAGTCGTCCAGCAAACCCAAAGCAAGTGCTCAGTGGCGTAGCCAGGATTTTATTTCGGGAGGGGTCCAATGCAGTCTTGGGTATTTATGCGTTACTAGTAACGCGTTACTGTAACTTTGTTACTTTTTCGGTAACTTGTAACTGTAGTTCTATTACTTTTTCTGAGGTAACGATGAAAGTAACGACGGTACTTTTGTCGTTACTTTTCAGTTCTTTATGAATAATCTCTCATTGAACAAGTACAATCCAGCTATCCCTTGCACTTTCCAGATTGTCTGTTCCGACAATTCGAGTGTCAGTCGGCCTTGCACAAACTTGGTAATACGCTCTTTCTCGCGAGTCACGACCCGAATATAGCCACGTGTAGATTTGATGGAAAAAACGAAGAAAAGAATTTAGTTATCTTTACGCATGTGCTTGTACTTTGTGACTGAACACTTACATCTTAGTATCTTGAAGCACTATCTCTGTTGCGTTTTTTTTTTTTTTCTGTGCACGCTTTTTAATGGACTTCTTCCAAAACCGACGCGCCCCATCGCGGCGAAATACCACGCAGTGCACTTTGGGAACTAGTTGGCCACTCAGTTTCGGTTTCGACTGAGCAGCTTCATCTCATGCTATCACGCCGCGACCGAACGCGCTGCTTGCGTTTTCGATTATCTGACTTTTCACGAACGTACAATACACTCATCCTCGAGCGATACAAAACGAAGACCGGGGCACTTTCCTTGGTTCCCGAAACACCGGATATTGTGCATGCGTATGCGAACGTAGTAAGTCGTGGCTTAGTCACCTCACCCCACGAGTGCATCTTTGAGCTCAATGTCAGTAATCCCGTCTAGTGCCAGTGAACTACAACTGAAATTTGTTCGTCTGGAGCCTTACACACTTTTGTTTGCCAAACGTCCGCTTTTTGTTACTTCATTGGGCGAAAAGCAAGCCGCATCCTCACAGGGTATCAAAATTGAGGCCAGCGTTTACGCATAAACGTTTAAGGAAACGCAATAAATTCGACCTCACTACTGCACAAAAGTTACTATGATGTCTTCCTCGTGTCATCATATATCTCCCACTCAAATTTTATGCTGATAGAAGATTAACTTTTCGCAAACGTTGAGATCGGCTAGCTACGACGGAGGCCCTAACAAGCGTCCCCTACTCCTCGCGAAGCCTTTTTGGACGAGCTTTTACTGACGCCCGAGATCTGTGCCGGGAACGGTGTGTCTGAAATTATCTCGGCATACTCAGGCAGGAAGAAAGCAAACACATAACAAATATTATGGCCATTAGCAACCGTCAAATGCGCTTTGAATTCGTTCGAGCAGTTGTGTGAAGAATGTCGCACCGTGCGCCGGACGGGCATGAACCCCAATGCGGTGCGCATAGGGGTTCATGCCCGTCTGACGCACTTCCGGCGAACGGTGCGACATTCTTCACACAAGTGCTCGACTTTTGCATTCTTAAAACTGTCTGTATGCACGAATTTGCCTATATGATTGCAAGATAACTTCATGCGCATACGCGATGTTGAATATTAGTAAAATGCAAGCGGGTGGGGACTTCACTTCATGCAGTGCTGCGGTGCAGTATACAGATAAGAAATAAGAAGTGTGTTAAAATTGAGCTTTTCAATGGCGCCTCCGAGTTTTACCTCGCATACTCAGGCACATTAAGAAAAACAGTAATTGCAAAAAGTAATATTTCGTCTATGGACGCACGGAGCAAACGTACTTTTTGATCAACAAAACTAATTTAAAGGCGCGAGCTCGATGTATGCATACTTATTGGTTGCTACAGCTTGTTGATTCGTACACAAGCAAGATCCCCCAGCACCCGAGCTTCGCAGCGTCGAGACTCCCAGCACTGGCTCGTCCACATACCTCGATTGGAACGCTAACAGGAAGGTTCAATTACAAAAATACACCAAGCATCTGTTAAGACAAGCGATACGTCTCGGGCTTGTGCAAGAGCTTCGAAGTCTGGCCATTTAGGTGAGTTTAGAGACCACAAATGTCGCTCTCGGGGCCAGAAATCAATCTCTTGTCGACGTGTCGATCGAAACCGAAACCATGCCACCCTCCTTCCTGGCCAACTAGTTCCCAGAGTGCAACGCGCGCCGTGTTGCATGCAGGGCTTTATGGAAGTAGTCTATTGGGTAAATCAACCGTGAAACAACAATACACGCGGAGGGCACTTCGTATGTTTCGTATTTTGATTTGAGTTGGCGTGGTGTCAACAGTGGAGGTAAAATTTACTGTTGTTTGCGCGGGGTTTGTTTCTGGCTTGCCGTGTATGTACTGAAATATGTCCAAGGACTCCATGAACCCAGCGCAACCGTCAATGAGCAAGCAATGTGCTAGTGCTACCAAGGATAGCGGTATTGATGAGAACAAAGAACTAGCATGAACGGCATACAGGCAGATCTTGCTGGGGTGAAGGGGGTTGCTAACAATTTGACCGCAGTAAGCAAACTTTGCAACAAGGAGTACTCCGACAACAAGTCTTCGTGTTCAAATCTGAGAAAGCACATTTAGTTGAATTTTTGACTTTATTCTTTTTATAATATTAACTAATTTTCAAGCTAAACTATAAAGTTTGAATTTACCACTATGGTAAAAGCCTGACTGATTTGCGTCTATATTTTTTTTTTCTTTCAGACACTAGTTTTTCTTAACCTTCTGTGTTATCGAAAAGTAGCTGAAAAGTAACGTCGTTACTTTTTGAAAGTAACTGTAACTGTAACGAGTTACTCTTTTGTTGCGGTAACTGTAACGGTAACTTTGCTACTTTTTTCTGAAAGTAACTGTAACTAACGAATTACTTTTTAAAAGTAACTTACCCAAGACTGGTCCAATGGCATGAATTCTCCCCCCCCTTTTTCTTCCCCCCCCCCCCCGTCTCAATGAGGGTGAGCTCGGCGGTACGAACACTCACGCAAAGATTAGGGAGACGCTGTTAGATAGAACGGGTAAAGCTGCATTGTCCTTTTTGAAAATGAAGCAGGCTCCATTTACAGGAATACGAGCGTGGTGGCTCACCGTTCTACTGTCGTCTTAGTTGCGGCCCACCAACTTTAAAAGCTTCCTCACAGCACACAACTCCCCCCGCTTTTGAGGTAGCACTGCATTACCAACACGTGAAGGGCAGACAAAACACAAGGATAGCTATAGACCAGTGTTGCGGAATTGGCACCCCCATTCCATTCCAATTCCATTCCGGGGAACTAGAGTTTTCGATAATTCAATTCCTTTCAATTCCTAGGAATGGAGACACTGGGCCCATTTCCACTCCTGGAATGGCTGAATCGTTCCATTTCATTCCTTTAATTCCTAAACGTAAAAATTGGCACTTGACAGCTACATTGTGTTGCCGGCATAAGCAGCATAAAGCTGACATTATCAAATGCAGAGACAATTGCAAAAAAAAAAGCTAAATTCCTCAAAACAGCACTGATTTTACTAAGCGAACCGCTGGTGGCAGAAAGTGTTTATTTACAATGTACTGCAAACATCGAGAAAGCCCCTTGATATGTCGATGCTTGTTAAAGACATCGGTCTCGCAACCACGTGACTCACAACAAATAGCAAAACTTAAATCCACTCATTTTCTTTTCTTTTTTTTTAAACTTTTTTGCATTTGACTTTTAGGACATACGCGGCCAGCGTGCTTGTTTGACAAGACCATAAAAATATCCAGTTCGTGCGTGGCGCAGGAATAACCTATATTACTGTATTCTTCAAATACAGCAACACGGGTAGTACACTGCTGGAAGGGACTCCATGCATAGCGGCAAGAGCACATCCTCTGACAAAATGCAACCTGTGCGGCGCAGCACGAGGGACCGTATAAAGTTAAACCATGTCACGAAACCTGTTTTAAAACGCATAAGTTCACGCTTGCTTTACGAATCTCGATATTTCTTATCATCTTATCTTTACGAATCTCGATATTTCAACAAGGCATCTTCTTATCAGAAGATGCCTTGTTGCATATAAAAGATAAAATTTTAAATAACATTGAAAATAAACTTCTTACTCTTGGCATATACTTGGATTTTCGAAAAGCATTCGACAGCATCAATCATGACATCCTACTACAAAAACTTCCCCGCTATGGCATTAGGGGTAAAGCATTGGATTTAATAAAGAGTTTCCTACAAAATCGCGAGCAGTTCGTACAAATCAATGACATCCATTCTGATCTTAAGACTGTTAAATATGGGGTCCCTCAGGGATCAGTATTAGGACCTCTGCTTT